TGCAAAAGGCATATGTCCACAGAAGTCAACATTTTATCAGTATGGTTTAATTAAGGATTCCTGGTCCTAAATATGCACACAAATACTCAATAGTTTCTCCCAAAGAATTATTCAGACAATTATGTTTACAGTATAAAAGTACACTTGCCTTATATACATATGTGACTTGATTATGTACATTTTTAAATATAAAAGAAAAATACAGTGTGCACTTCAGTAGATGACTATATCTTTGAAAAGACAGTAGATGACTATATCTTTGAAAAGATGTTTTGTTCATTGCATTAGATAAAATGATTGAATGACATAGTCATTTGAAAGTAATTACCTACACTAGCAAGTAATCTAAGCCATTTAAGATAACTAAAAGTAAGGTGTGTATTTCTAACATACAGTACAGTATGTTTATTGTTCATTGGGATGGAAATGTGGTTGACTGCGATCTGTAAAGTGCTTGCCATGATTTATGACTTGTTATTCCCAGGTCTTCTCATTTCATATAAGGTATACTATTTTTACAGTCCATATATCCTACACAATTTTCTCTACCAGCAAACATCTAATTGGAATTAGTGCTCAGCTGAAATGAAGTATAATAATATACAATACAATATGGTGTACCATTTTACCTTTGATATTAAAAAATCTCCAGTAGTTTCTAAAAAATTGAAAAAAATGGTATTCATTTTCAAAAAATGTCAGCGGGATGAGAACTTTGTTTTTTCATTATGACATTCAATCTTGCTCATGTGCTGACTTCTATATACAGTATGCCATATACAGTACCATTTATGTTTCATTTAATATACAGTGCCTGGCTAAATTATGCAACTCCATCTCAGTGATGTCCCATTTTAATTGAAAAAGACATAAACACAGTTTTGTAAAGTGAATATTTTAAAATTAAAGAGGAACTGCACCCCCAATTCCTCAGACTGGTTATTAAATCTTGTTAACAATGTAAATAAATTAACATTACAGAAACATTTCACTAATTCCGAATTGAGCACAAAATCGTGAACTTTGTGAAAGTACTGTAAGTCGCCATTTTGTCACAAACCCCTGGTCTCGCCACGGGGGAGAGCAAGAGCTCCCATGAACTGTGATGTGTAGCAACACCTTCCTGCTCACGAGTCACTGTAATGATTAATGTCATGCAATGTATGAGCGAAGGAGTACAGGTTGTGTAACAGACGTTTCACTGCAGAAATGTTACAAATTGACCTGCATGAAGAGTTTACAAGTACTATTTGTCAGCAAAACTGTCTTGAAACTGTCTTAATCCTTTCTATTGGATTAAAAGAGATGTATTCAATATCCTGTTTCTTTACATTGTAATAAGGCTGCGTCATGTCACTGACATTTTGTTGCCTGGTTCTTGTGTTTTTATTGTGATATTTAAAGCACTCATCAGTGATGATTCTTTCTTATCCTGAATTACAAAAATCTCCTTTAATGCTGAAACTGAAGAAAGTTAAATGTAAACAAAAGTTTGCAAAACAAAATGTAAATCTAAAATAATGTTGAATGCATCAATTGCATAAATTGACAAGCTTCCCTGTACTTGTTGATGGGAAGCAGCCCTATAACGATTCTTTCAAACACTATGCCTGACAGTAGGGGTGGAGCTAATGTGGTTTGTATCAGTCATTATATGACATTTAACTTTTTTCACCTATAGATATGTTTTGATTGCAATAAGACATTTTGAATACATTATTTGTAATTCAGCAAAAAGTAACATCTTTGGAATGAGTTGAATACTTGTGCAAGGCACTGTATATTATAACATTGAGAGTACATTTCCTATTCTATCCTATAGCTAAAAAATGTGCAGAGTAACTGAAAGTGACGATTGCACTTTAGTATCTTTTTTCCTCACACTTGCCCCTGACTTAATAGAACTCGTTCATTTTTGCAACCTAAAGAGACAGGAAGATTTAAGAAAAATACTAATATGCTGAAAAACTACATCTTACATCTGAAGAAAAAAAGCACTTAAAGTTTAAGTTGGGGTTTTTACAGTATGTTTTTTATGAATCTAAATGTATATCAAAAATTAAAATGATGCACACTAACATATATTTGGGCATGTTGATGTTCTTAACACTACAAAGCTAGACTGCCTCCAAGTCGTCTCATGAGCTGTCGACCTTTGTTCAAAATTTAAATTACACTTCTTATATACAAGGCCAGTCAACCCTCAATGAAGTAGCTGTCAGCTGGAATTGTTCAACTAACTTCACTCATTTTTTCAAGTATGTTAAAGACACATTTTCTTCTTGTCTTTGTAAATATTGTCTTTCAAAAGTATTCACCCTTCTTTGACTTTTTCACATTTTACGGTAATATAATATGGAATCATAATGTATTAAATTGAGATTTTTTGCCACTGATTAACACGGATTGTATTAGTATTTAATTAAAGAGGATCTGTCCAAGAAAGGTAAATACTTTACTGTAGATAGCCACAATTTTTCCAAATGCCTCATGGTCATATATAGATGAAAGTATATTTTCATATGCCAGCATATGGGGTAAAAAATGGACATCATACTAGTTGATTTGTACAGTAACAAGAGTAAACATACAGTAATTGATAAAAATGAATACAGATATCCTTTGCCTATGGCTTAATTTAAAAATTAAGCAGCCTTGTGCTATTCCCAAACAAACTATGCAATACTAATACATGACAAGAATATTTTTGTAATAATATGAAAAGGAGTATGAAGAAGAAAAGCAAGTAAAATCCATTGTTTCATGAGGATCACTGCACTGCAATAACAGAGCACTAAGAAAAATGTACAGATTCATTTCTAGTTTGTGACATATCATAAGTGGAAAAGAAAACCTTGTTTTCCTTTTTTTCTCCTTGCAGAAAGATTTCATGCTAATTAACAAGCCTTGAGATAATATAGCATCTCCTATATTCTGCAATTTTTTGTAACTCTATAAAAATTGTCTTTTACTTGCAAGGCTCCACTTATAGACTCCAGTTATAGGAAGCAGTTTGAAACATCTGACCTTTCACAGTTAGTTTTGTAGAAACAAGCCCACTGCATCCGCATCCAGTAGTCTGGAGGCAGGGACAGGCAGATACCTGTTTATTTTCCACATGTTTCTGAGCAGATTACATAATTCTGAGCCTTACAGATGCAGCCATTCAAAGTGCGCGGTACAGACACGTACCGGAGGTAATTGGCTACGGCGTCGCGCATC